AAGTGTGCTTTGACACTGTGCTGAGCAGCACTGGCCATGACGTGGAGACCGCTGTATCTATAGCCTCAAGATATAGTTATAAAGTATACTAAACGCAGGACATTGATTGATTACTAGTCGATTCTGGGAAATTAAGTCTGATAATTGAATTCCAATGATTCAATTCTGAGGATTCATGAAGTTCTTATAATTCAATCCTGCCAATTGGATAGCACAACTTCATCCTGCCTGTACTGAGAATTCGAAGGGTGGTCCATGAGTCCTGGCTGAGGATGGTTCAACCGATGCAGTCAGACGAAACCGCTGGAGTCAAGATCCAAGACCGAGATTCTCTATAGAACGCCTTACAATGCGTGCGTTCAACCTGTTCCTGGAGCCTCGTTCTCACCCACCTATAATAGACTGGCAATTGGCCACTGTGAGTATACTGAGTATGATCCTAGACTAATTATAAGTCGAGCCTTCTTTCAGTTTACCTTCACATGAAAGATGACAAGCTACACGGCCAGAATTATACGGGATAGTCACCATAACAACCTTATGCAAGATACACAAGGTACTTAACAATAAGCTGGGGTAAGCCATCTGAATATCAAGAACTTCTGGTTACTCAATTCTGCCCCCAACTCGCCATCGAATAAGCAGCCACCTATAATCCACGAAAGCACAGCCTTAGCAGTAGTACTGCACACAGATGCACAAACATATACATGCAGAGACAATCTAAGCATTGTCAGTCCACCCCCACCACTTTTAGAATGCAAGGGGGGCAAAGAAAAAGACACACAGACAGGGCAGGGTCAACCTGCGTTTGAAACAATTAGTAGTTAGTGACCGACCCTGAAGTTGGTACCCAGGCAGTGGTACCTCCCCGTCCCTCCCTGTCAGGGCAACAAGTGACCCGTGCCAGCACGTGTCAGTGGCCCCGGGGACCCCCATTCCTTCTCCTTAGGGGGGGGGGGGGGGGGGGGCCGCAATGCACATAGCCTAAGTGACTTCGGTCTATAGAACCACCCACCCACCGGTGGCACCCAGCCTGGCGGGGCGTTAGACCGACCCAGAGGTTTCAGTGCGTAATGAAAATCCATCTTGTCAATTGAGTCAGTCGACTCAGCATGGGAAATCATTTTCCCTGGCCACGATCTAGACTGCCATTTGCACTGTTGAAGTTTTTCTTCCCTGGTGGTTGTGTTACCTTCGACTATGCGATTTCTCCCTCAGGGAATGAGGCCTCAGATCTTTACAGAATACATATAACTATAACTTTGACACGGCCAACGGAAGGCAGAACCATGGTGATGGGTTAACGCATCTCCCGCCGTGCGCCGTGCCGCGCCCATTGTCTCGCCTCCCCGTCCCCCGTCCCGGAGGGAATCTTCATTTCGGGATTTCATACAAGCAGATCCACCACACACAGGAACCCAAGGAAGGGGGAACAACGGATAAGTCGGTTGTCATGATGTCAGACTTGTAGTGACATGCACTATTATTGTTATTGTGATTATATCATCATCAGCGTCAGTTGCGCCGATACTTCTCTTCCCTCGATGTCCAGGGGCGAAAGGACACTGCCTCCTCCTCCTCCTCCTCCTACAGTCATATTATAGACACTCAGCCACGAGCTAGATACCCATGTGCAAGCAGCCACTCTCCTCAAATAACAATACCAGTGAATTATATGGTACCAGTAAGGCAATAGTGAATTCTGATCCCGGCAGAAGATAATCAACAGGAATAAAATAGAAAAACCAAAGACGATCGGGGGCCGGCACCTCGGCAGGAAGAAAAAAAGAGACAAGAAGCAAAAGAAAATCCCAAACCAATTAAACCCATCCCACTATTGTAGCCAGCACGGGACCGAGGGGGAGTTCGTCACGGAGGAACAACTCCGTGAGACATAGATCCAAACCACACTTCGAAAAAAAAACCCAATTTAAACTTTCTCGAACTTTTCGCAAATCACAACCGCAACAGACAGAGAAAAGAGAAAGTTCCGTGTGCATGTGCACGATGTGGGTGTGTGGTGTCGTGTTCGCTTCGAACCTTGGGTTTTCTTGTTGACTCCCCGGAAGTACCGGTACCCATTTTCATGGGTTCAAATTCCCAAGAGAAAGATGCCCGCCCGCGTACGCCGGGCGTAGTAGTAGTAGTTTGAAGTAAACTTATTAAGGACCCCGTGCCCGGAATTGGACATACTGAGTACGGTCCAGTTAGTACTAGACTACCGTAGTACCGTACCTAGTAGTAGTAGACTAGCACGACTTCCCGAGACAACTTTGTCCGGGTGAGGAAATGGGGGGATGGGCCTACTAACTAACGTTAAGTTACTACTTGGAAAACAAGGCCGAACACGAAAAAGCAAAAAGGGCTCAGTTGTGGTAGTTAGTATACATGCGGATAGGTAACTTGAACTTCCTGCAAAGTACTTCTGTCATGGACTAACTATCTCACGGTCAAAATCCCGACCAGACGGATCAGATGCCCCCTCTCTTTCTCTCTCGCGTTCTTGCATTGCATTTCAATCTATGCAGTCAATCGGGGTTTGTCCTGATCTATCTATCGCGGGGAAAAGGTTCCGAGAGCTCGGATGCCGTGCTGCAAGTATGTACGGAGTACTGTGCTGGTAGTTCTGGGATAGATATTACCTTTTGGACAAGTATAAGATCTGCTTTTCTCAAATGTACTTTGTTCTCGTATCATCCTGGCGTTGGAAATATGATTTGATTCGGCTTCATTCGTGGAGCTGGCGGTAGGGCGAAAGATTTGCCGCCACCACCACTAGAAAGCTACCTAGTACTCATCGCTTCCCTAGGCTAGGTCTCCGAGGGGGCATTTCGGCGAGTATTCGGTGCTATACTTTAGACGATGATTTCCAAGATCTCCAAGAGCCGTTTCAACGGTGAGGAGGGGAAATAGATAAATACTCATTTTCAGTCCACGCTAACAGGCAAGTCAAGAGGGTCAAAGGGGAGAAAAAACAATTAAGGCCAGGCCGGGTCCATTCCAGAAACGTTGGCCTTCCGGGACCACTCACTGCACTTAAGCCTGGAGTCGACGATAGTAAACTACGAAGTCACTAAAGTAAACTACTAAAATTGCGTCGCAACAAGTGGAGTGGCCCTAAGGGGTCATCGAGCCGGGGCGGTTCGATTTTCTTGTCACAATGTGGTTTTCTAATTTTTTTTTCTGATTTGATTTGATTTGATTTGATTTTTTGCCCCCCTCCTTTAGGCCTGACTGTTTTCGTTTCTTTCTCTCGTTCTCCCCTCCTTTAATCGAACACCTTCTCCTTCCATGGGTCAGATTGACCTGGAACGGTGTCCGAGCTGCGTAACATTCATCATCACTCACTGTCTCCTCCCTCACCACTACCCCTACCACCACCACCACCACAACCACATTTAATACTGTCAGCCTCGCTTGTTTCGGCCCTTTTCCTACTCTATTTCTGTCGCCATTAACGTATCATGTCCCTCCTAATCGAACTCCTGCCCCGTTCGTGACCGATCTGCGCTGCCACTGTTTGTATGCGGAAGAATGCACATCGTTCGTTCTTAGCAGGTCCCCTCAATTGACGAGCATCCACCACTCCACCTGAACCCTCCGAAATGGATATCATGTCAAATGGACCGGCGGTCCTTGCGCCTGCCGCAGCTTCGGGCTCCGACCTTCATTCCACCGCCAGTTCGACCGGTATAACCCTGGCAGCGACGTCGACCTCCTCCCTCTCCTCCCTCAATGACTACTCCAATTTTCCCTTGATACGCCATGGCGATCGCACGTATCTCCGAGACCCCGACAACCAGTATCCTCTTCCCTGCGACCTTCCTGAGATACACCGACAGACCTTGCGCTCGCTCATGCTCATGCGTGTTTTCGGGGGGCCCTTCTGCAACCCACATTTGGCCGACCGCGCCCCGAAGCGAGTCTTGGAACTCGCCTGTGGTTCAGGATTGTGGTCCAGCATGTGCCACGATTATTTCGCCCGTCGTGGCCACCGCACCGTGTCCTTCAACGGCATTGACATCGTCTCCGTCGCACCCGACCTGCGCAAAAAGGGTGTGAACTGGCAATTCAAGCGTCACGACCTACGCAAGCCACGCCTGCCATTTCCCGACGACTATTTCGATTTTGTCTTCATCAAGGATGCGGGTATGTGTCCTTCCAGTCCGGCCCAGCAAGCCTCGGGATTGAGCGAGCCGTTGCGTGTTCTCAAGTCCGGGGGTATCTTGGAAGTCTGGGATTCCGACTGGGTGTTCCGCTCTCTGCTGCCCAATCCGGCACCCGCTCGCAAACTGGCCTCGAGAGAACAAGAGACCGCCGATGCGACCGCGACGTACACCTTCTCGTCTGCCACGCCATTCACGCGCGCCCAGAACAAGTTTCTCCAAGACTACAATACCTGGCTTGAGAAAGCGTTCGATCAGCGGAAATTGACTGCTCTACCATGCGCCACGATGGGCCTATCCTTCAATGCGGAGGTAGACGTCCTCGAGAAGGTCGACAGTCGTCGCATTGCCATTCCGTTGGGCGAACTACGCTGGGAACGGGAGGGGTATGGAAAGGAAACGAGTGGTGGAACTCGAAGACAGTTGACGGCCGATCAGTTATCCATCCGACGCACTGCGCTTCTGACGGTCATCCAAATGATAGAAGGCATGGAGCACATTCTTATGGAGGCCAGCGGGAAGAGCAAGGACGAATGGGATCGCTGGTGGGCATCAATGATGACCGATTTGTTCCAGAAGGATGGCCTCGCGAACGGGGAGTGCTTGGAAGTGAGTGCTTGGTGGGGTCGAAAGATATAGGCGCCTTTACCGGCGGCCAGGATCGTGAACTCAACGTTTGGTGTTCAGGCGAATGAGAGGAAAGGAAAAAGAAAAAAAGGAACCGTGACCATTTCTCTTCTCATATTGGTGATACCCCCACGTTTCTCTCTTTTTTTTTGGTTCAAATTGCCATAATGTTCATTTCTGTATAATTTTTGCTGCGAGGTGTGTCGGATGCGGATGGTTGGATGCTATTTGTTCTCATAGCGCTGTTTCAACGTGCGATACCGCTTGAGGTAGTAGCTGTTTGCTTTCATCAGTATCACTGCTCACAGTGCACCCATGTGTTTATAAGTTTATGACATAACGATATATTGAGACTGTACATCCATAGGAAATATCAAGAAATTATGATTAACCGCATCGGATTTGGGGAAGGGATAAGTGGATAGGTAGCGTGGATCAGTGCTCGTCGGCGAGGTGTCGAAGCAGACGGGAGCAGTAAAGGCATGGGTAGTACTTACAGAGCCTCGATTTCTAGATCATTGAAGGATAGAAGGTTATTGATTGGTTCAATGAAGCTGCTGCAATTGCAAACAAGTGAGGCGGGATAACGCACCCTTCTTAACGAACTCCGCTCGTGCTATACCTTTCCGAATCTGCTCTTCATTATCCAGGTGTGCCTGACTGCTAAATGCCTTGTGTAGCCTGTTCCGGAAGTAGTCGTAGCCCAGAGGATAATTGCGGCCGAGGAAAAGGAGCTCTGTCGATCGATCAGTCAATAGCCATAGGCTTGGTTACGGTGCTAGGAATTGCTAAGCACAGCAGTCGAAACTTCTGTCAGAGATAAGATATCACCAACCTTTGTAGATATTGATAACTTGATAGCGGAGTTCTGGGCTAGTCATGATTAATCCATTCAGTGTGAGGAATGTTGAACAGTGAACGGTCTTTGGGCAGGAAGATAGCGACAAGGAGATGAGGAAGATAGGAAGGCGACGATGGGTTGTTGCCGCTTGGTGGGAATGGGGGTTGTTTGCTTCCGCCGGAACATTACCGGTGACGTCGTCACCCGGCGGCCAGTTTTGTATTCCTCGAGCCTACAATCAACCCTACAGGAAGATGCAATCCGGGATTGACTTATGAAGTGCTTGTACAAGCTCGTTGGGCATCAGAAATAAATGGTGGTCATGTAGAGTACTCCTAAGGTAGCAGCGTATACATAAATATGGCTCGTGCCACCCCCAACAACCCGGCTCTGCGATCTGAATATGACGCTGTATATGACGCTGTACGCTGAACGGACGCTAATTCCACCATAAATGATAGTAGATATATACTGTAGATCTCAACATATGCGACCCTAGAGGCCCATAATTGATTCAATTGAATTGATTCCCAAAGTAAACCTCTGTTGTTGTGGCCTCGACTGGCCTCGGCCCTGCAAGGCCGCGGGGAGACGGAAGAGGAGTGATTGAGTGGGGTTAACCGAACAGCTCCCCGGCGGAGAACTAACCGACCAGCTTGAGAGGTGCTTCGAGACCATCCAAGCAACAGCTCCATCTACGGTTCCTATCGATGCTATAGTTACTGACCACACCCCTTATCACCACCATGGTACAGCTACAGAGCTTGAGAAGGCAATGCCTCTCCCTACAATCCCGATCCTTCGTATCGACTATTCGGTCACTCTCGACCTCTTCTTCGTCGCAGAATGCCCCCTCGTCGACAGCGAAGTCCCTTTCTGCAACAGGCCCCACCACGAAGAAGCCTCACGGCATTGATCCCCGATGGCTGACCATGACCAAACGTAGACTCGGTCGCTGCATGATGTTCGGTCTTAGGCCGTCACAAATTCAAGAATCCGGCGAATTACTGCAACAGATCGCGCGGGATTGGCGAGAGCTCGTCGCGGGTAGCGAGGGCTATCTGACCGATGCATCAAGAAGAGGCTTGTTCAAGCAGGCTGTCGCATGGGGTGAGATGGTACGATGGCCAACTTTCGCATTCCGCTCAAGCGCTTAGGAGCCGTGCTAACAGCCAGATGTCGCCGCGGCGCAATAGGATAGCATGGTAAGCCGACCCTCTCAATGAATTGCTTCTATGTATAGCTTCCTAACCACCACGGCAGGGTACATATGCCTCTCTTACCTAGAATCCGACTTTGATCCCAATCCAAGTCCGCCATACACTCTAACGAGGAATTCTAGGGCATGTCAACAATGTCACCTACGCTCGGTACGCAGAAACCGCCCGTGTGTATTTTACCCGCAACTTCGCGATGCACATCGATCCGGCCCGTAAGAAGGAATGGATGAACCTTGTCAGCTCCCGAGGGATTGGATTGATCATGCGAAGCATCAAGATCGATTACAAATTCGTATGACCAGAACCCGCTCCCCCGAACGATTTCACGAAACTGATTGCCGGGTTGGCGTGCGTGCGCAGCCGATGACCTACCCCGACCAAGTTACGGTATATCACAAACTGGTTCACGACCCTGCGGCGCCCGACGCATCACCGTGGGCATTCCAGCTCCAGGCAATCATTCTCTCGGAGGCGCGCTTCCGACCTGCCGCGCGCGTCCACGAGGATCTGGTCACATATGACTATAAGCAGGCCAAGAAGACCGCGCTTCCACCTTTCTTGTTTGAGCAGCTCAAGAAGACCTGGGAGCTTCAAGAGCAGACAAAGGAGTATTGGCGGCAGCGCATCCTGGACATCGAAGCGCGGGTTCGGGCGCTGGAGGTTGAGAGCTGGGATCGGGAGGATGCCGTTGAGGATACCGGATCTGCCAGGAAGTGAGGACCTCGACCTCCCCTCCACCAACTTGTGGCTTTGCGGGCCAGACCCTGTGGTTGATTGAGTGGAACCGAGACATGGAGGCTTTGGCTATCCGGTGATAGAAGGCGTTGGCAGTGATTGCCAACTTAGATGCTAGCCAGATACAAGCAAGCGAGCACGAGTTTGTATAGAGCCGCTTAGCGAGCTATAGAATAAAGTGCACTGTCACATGTGGACATTTGCTCGGACGTAACTAGCTCTGTGCCACCGGAACTGTATTGTATGTACAGTACTACTAGACAGTATGGTACCTCCCTTCCGAAACAGTCGCGATTTGTCGCACTGCAATGCCTGCCAGTATGGATCAAAGCTGATATGTTCCATTGAGTGTGGCGGTGCTCCGCCCTAGCCAGTCAGCAAGCTAATTAAGTTAGTCCCTGATGCTCTTAGGCTGTCAAGTCTCGACACATGCTGACCTGGTCTCGTCGTACTCGTATACACCAGATATAGCTACTCAGAACCCACGCCAAAGCTACTTCTTGACCTCGACGAAGCCTTGAACAAAGCGTTTGTATGATGGCAATCTTATGCTATGGATCATGCATACCTACGATTCCACAATGTATGTTTAGGTTACTTCTGCTACCCACCTAGGTACCGATCGATTCGAATGGTGTTCAAAGGAATCTCGGAAGAAAGCCGACGACGAACCGTCCCGACTCAGCCCGTCCAGTCCTCCGCAAGGGTCTGGAGCATTTATGATTGGTGCCGGTAGTCTATCGCTGAAGAATTTGTCCCGAGAAAAGAGTTTTTCTGCTTGCATTTGGAAATGAGAGCAGTGAGTCACTGACAGCCAGCTTGATCGAAACCAGATCTCGTTGACCAATGGGTGAATATTCTGGAAGAGGTCTCTCCTCATCAGCCCATCGATCCCCGTCCCAAGGAAGACCCGGGATAACCCTGTCAGGATTCGGAGTGACACGACGAGGAAGGAAGAAATTTTCTCTACGTACTGCTTCAATTCCCCAGCCCTTCACTTCAATTGAGGGGAAGGAGCAAGAGGAGGGGGGAAGTTGTGCCCGACTGTAGATAGTGCGAGTTCGCAGACCAGGGTTTGCCGTCTGGAAGTAGTAGATGATCGCCGACGCCTTTCCGCTGGAAGTTCTGGCGGTTTTAGTTTCTAGTTCTCTAGCAAGGCTAGTCTAAAACTGCTCTGCTAGCAAAATTTGGGACTCTGGGAGAAAAAAAAAAAAAAGGTCGAAGGCTCGAGATTCCTTGGGTCCGGCCGGCGCCACATAAGAGGGTGGGAAAGTGGAAAAGTCTCCACAACGCGTGGGCCTCCCTCTTTTCCTTCGCCTGTGAAAGTTGTGAAGAGTCTCTGGCTCGCCGAAAATAGATTCGCGCGGGACCGAGGCTGAGTGAAGTTGTCTGTATGGTATCGATGAAGTACAGCGAGCGATCTTGCCGGTCCCCGTCCGGACCGAGATGGCCTTGGTTACGGTTGTCCTGGCATATCGGCATCTTTCTTATACACGGTTATAGATTTGGATGTGGAAGAAGGTGCATCGAAACTTTGTTTAACCAGAGAGACCTTGGGTGAAATTGGCCACGAGGGAGCCGGAGACTTGGTGCGAAGTCTTTACTGTATCGTTCTCTCCATCCGGGGAAGTCCTATGGTACTGTACCGAGGCTTCAGCTTCGACGAGTATAAAGCGGCATCACCTCCGTTGTTGCTGGGCCCCAGCAAGATGAACTGCTTCCATGTACTGTATCTAGCCGAAACCCCAGGTAGAAATGAATGTCTCGAATTGTGGCACAGGAGGACGGATTCTGGACTCAACCGCCGCCGATGTACAGTACACCCCCCCCTTGCATGTGGGAGGTTTCCAATATGCACTTGATGCCACTTGCAGGATGATGGCCGTATCATACGTACAGCAAGTTGTACATCTGATTCTGGGGTACATCTCACCATCTGGCAGGCAGGTGGTCAAGATGTCGAGCCGTACATAATCAAGCATGACCGGCGAAAATCTCACTTATTGATGTTGGGATGGTCTACTCCGTTCTCCGCACAGATTCTATACACAATTTAGTCACCACAAGTTTGTATTGAGTATAAGGCAGGCGGCCAATGAAGACTATTTACAGCTCTCGGATCGCCAGATTGGCTTCTTCACGCTTGGACCTTCGCCTTTATCGAATCGATAGCCTGGAAAGGTCCTTATCTTATTACTGTGTGAGTATATTGGTTTCAATCCGACTTTGCCCTTTCGAGGAGGATTTCCCCATAGCCTAGCACTCTTTTGATCCTTACTTGGAGGGGGGGATTGGGGAGCGATCAATAAGAGTCTTTCCTGCCTTGTGCTACATGAGTAGGTATCCGGGGAAGGGAATCTCTAGATGATCGACCCACAACCTACGGAGTACTTGCTATTGACTCCCTGACGGCACTACCGTTTGACCTAGGTACTTCATTCCATCGGTCAAATTTCCCTCTAGCAAGACCAACGGGCATGAAGATACAGTATCTAGTCGACGGGCCAAGGATGGCCAAGCCTATCCATCATCTGACAAGACTTGCGGGGTCGCAATCGACCGCTGGGCCAAGTCAAAAGTGAGCTGGACGCAATTTGCCCGTTCGGGGACATGGCCGGTCGATCCCCTCCGCAGGGATTGTATCTTCCCTGCCCCTGTTTCTGAACAACCCATTTACCCTGGCTTCCACATTTACCCTAGACAAGCGCATGGGCTTGCTGGCCCATTGGGCAATGCAGACTGGACAGCGATATCGCCTTTCGTTCCGACGGCCCTGAAGTGGGAGGTGCTGAAGAGACATGGCAGGCCATGATGTTAGATGATGTTATCCGACAGGCGGTCGGTCGATAATAAAATACCGTATCTTCAGGTATGGTACCGGTTTCGTCAAACGGCTCTCTCCAGGGTAATCGAGCTCTCCACACTTGACAGCTTCGGACAACCGCAGGCTACCTCAAGGTCCGTTTAATCAAACAGCTGCGACGATCTCGCTAGCATTCTTCACGACCCCAGATTATTTCTCCCTGTCTAGGTCTTGTAGAATCAAAGGTGAGCTTGCGATGTATCTTTTCCTTACAAATACGGATGATGCACTGGTGGCGCAATCAAGCGAGTGTCAACTGACTTGTCACTGACCCTAGCCCGATAAGACCAGTGCTAGAACTTAAAGACGCTTATCTAGACCTGAAACATCTAGTGAGGTCGTGTGTCTGGCGGATATCACCTTCCCTTGGATTCTCGGCTATGCGTTTGTTATCTGAGCTTTGTCGACTGCAAGTTGACGGAATGACCAAATGATGCGAGGGGTAGAGTTTCAACTGCATGTACCCCAAGTGCGGCCTAGAATTGAGCGTCCGTTGTCATTTCCTCGTACATCTCAAGGAGCACACGGGTTTCCTACCCCCTCCTCACAAGAGAAGCCTACGTGGGATGGGATCGCCAGATCGCCCAGCCTAGTTGTGCCCTAACGCTGGACCAAGCGCATCAACCCCGGTCATGTCAAAAGCCAAGAGCATAAGACAGAATCAGTGGGCGAACGCGCGTGAAGGAGGGGTAAAGCGTGAGAGGGTGAGCAACAATGTCCTTCGCAGGCCTATCAAGATAGCTTGATTGCAGCCAGGCCGGGGCGAACACGTAGGCTCACGAGCCCGTTTCGTCTTATGGTCGGTCCGTCCAGAGAGGCTGAAATTCAGACCCCGCTGATCATATTGGCCGGGAGAAAACGAATTCAGATGTACTGCTCATGTGAGAGATACCGGCACGCTGTCGGTGATGCCATCATGATGCTGTACTGTAGTGTACTGTAATGTACTCATGTGCTGGTGTAGTGGTGGGTTATAGGCAGCATGCACGGTAGTAGTTTGGCTAGGCGGGTGAGCGGCCCGTTGAAGATCGGAGGTGGGCGTTTGTTGATTGTCCTCAACTCTGTTGGAAGGACTGACAAAGACTGTTTCGGGTAGAAGCGTTTTTAGTCTCAGCCTTGAAAACAGAGAGAGACCCTTTGAATTGGTCTCAGCTTGGGGGGGGCGGGCGAGATTGTGGCTGAAGAGCCAGGTGTCTAGTTTCTCCTGCATCGAGCCGTCAGAACCGATTGCTTCGGGTGTCAATTTCTGGTCTTGTGTCAGCATGTACGTATGGAAATTTGTCCTTTTTCAAAGTGTTTCGAGATAGTGAAGCTGAAGAAGTACAAGCAGTACAAGCCACATAGCTTGTTGTTCGAGATGAGTGAGTATAGTATAAGTTAGTAGTTAGTTGCTGTTGGTGGTAGACTCAGGGATTGGACAGTTGATGCCCGGGCGTGTCCTGCATCAGCCCATTCCTATCAGCCAACCGGAATCCGGCGCAGTGCGAGCCACGTATGGTAATGTCAGGTACTGTGCGGTTCTCGATACGACGCAGGGTATTGTTGCCTGAGGTTTTCCAAATGTTTCTGCCTGAGATGACCCTTCTTTTTTTTTTCGGCCCTCTGACGATCCGTTCCAAGCTTTTGCCTGGTCTTTTTCCCGCCGCTTCGTCTATCCAGAAACCCAAAAGTCTCTAACCAAACCTCAGTTACCTTCATTTTTCCCTTCTCTCTCTCTCACTCTCACTCTCTCATTTTCTTACCTTCTTCTTCCACCTCTTTTCCCCTCCACTCCACCCTCCCCCCCCGCCACCTTTCCTTTCTCTCTCTCTGTCTCTTCTACTCTCTTCCTTACTCGTTCTTCTCCTACAAACCCACTTCTCACTCACCTGCACATCCACCCCCCTCTACCCAATTCTGATCCAATCCCATTTCTTCTTTCCTTTCCTTTCTCATCTTAGTTCTGGCTCCATCCCATTCCCCGTCCATTTCCTCTCTTATCCTTTCCCTGTCATTCCTTTTTTTCCTTCCCGCACGCTTCCTTGTATTGAAACCCTTCTCTCCCTTTCTCTATCTCTTCATCCCCCTCCCCCAAAAATTAAACATCATCTCTGCTCACCATTTCCCGCACCTTCATTTCTCTTTCCGACCTCCCCTCCCCTTCCCGTACCCTTTTCCGACGCTGTCTTCGTCTTCAATTCTCGCCTGGTCCAAGTCCTTGGCTCCCTCTTGCCAAGCTGACTCGGACCTAGGTACTTAGGCTCCCTTGTCCATGCCACGTTCATCGGCTACGGCTAGGAAGAGTCATAGCAATCGAAATGAGAACGGTCTTGTCGGTCCCGGAAAGAAAGTGAACAAGCAGAAGTCGAATGGAAATCTGAATGGGACCTCGGCCAGCACCTCGAATCCGACTTCTGGCCCTTCCACCCAGGTCGACTGGCAACCGTCCCGCTCGTCCAGCGACTCGGCTCTAACCTCAACCGCCGCAACCACAAGCAAGGTGAACGGAAACACTGATTCTTCCAAGGCGGAGGGTAACGGACGAGGTCAACTGAATGGATACGCAAAAGGCAGCGCGGACATGTCATATGGTCAGACGAATGGTGCGGCGCCGCAGAATGGCGGACTCGCAGCCCAGGCGTCGCGTCGGACGGACAAGTCGGTGACCGGTACCAAAAGGTCGGCCTCCAGTGCTTCGATTAACCCGCTCCAACTGGCCTCCACGATTCTCAAGTCTTGCCCGATGTACGACACGATCGCGATCTTGATCTTTCTGCTGCAGCTTCCGCCTATGGTTCTTACTCTGGTTCAATTCTTGTTCGCTTCCTTGACCTTCATGCCTCCTGGTGGCGCGTCTTCCGGCTCCCTCACCTCCAACTTCGACATTTTTCAGGGTCCCGCCGGAACACCATCGCTGGGTACAATGATTGCGATGGATGGGTTCTGCCTGTTGTTCTGGGGCCTCTTCATGTGGACCTGGGCGCAGAATTTTGCCCTAGATCTCGCTCACGTGCAAGTCGCCATCACCCTTGGCGGCGGAGGCTCTGGAAAAAATGGAGGGGTCAATGCGCTCTGTGTTGGCATCGTCCTCGTATTACATCTTATCCGCAGTAAAGGTATACAGGATTTTGTTATAGGTCATCTGCTCTCTTCCAAAATCGTCAGTCCCGATCTCCTCTCGCAGTATTCCCACCTTATGCCCACCGAATTCCGACGCACCGAACCGCAAAGCTCTCCGAGCTGGATGCGGAGTCTACTTGCGGTGCATATATTGGCTCAAGCTGGTACTGCCATGGCGAGACGGTCGATGGCTAAGAACCGGTCTCCGGTTCCCCCTCGGAACGGCAAGCGCGTGGATACCGAAGCATCCGCCGGCTCGCAAACACAAATCGATTCTGCGTTCGAGTCCGGCGCAAGTGTCTCTTCCTATATCGGTGCCGATGGTCAGATTATCACGCCCGCCACTCACAAGGACGGTCGCGATAGACTGATCTCGGCCAAGAAACGCAGGAGGCAGGCGAACCAGGTTCGGAATCGTCAGCCTTTCTGGGCCGCACTCGCAAGCACGAAAGTGACGGTAATGAGGGAATATGAGCATTCTAGGGCTTTATCGAAAACCGGCAGAGGTCTCGCAATGACGGAAGAGGATCTACAAGGAGTGTCTCTGGATGATGGGCTTGTTTGGATAACCGAGATTGATAGCTCTACCATCAAGTTTGCAGCGGGCGATCTTGCTTCGCCCGATGATTCTTCAGTTTCCGGGGCTTGCGAAGCAGGACGTCTTGGAGGAGAAGAAACGGAACCATTCTACGTCTGTGTTAATGGTGCACTGTGGGCGACCGCAGTGATCAACAAAGTACAGGATTCGTCTAAGGGCTCACACACTGTGCATTGGCGGGGTGAAATTTCGGGTCTCGCGCCGAACTGCGCCTACACCTGCTCTTTCATGCGGAGCGATACTGACGAGGAAATCTGTGTCATGAGCGTCAAGACCCCCGCCGCAAATGACGCAGAGCAAGGTACTACGAAGCCTCCCCGCAATAGATTTCAATATCACTAACGCCACTTTTAGTATCTTCGGTATCAGTTCCTCCGCAGCCAACTTATCGTCCGTCTTCCCCGACTACCACACTCAAGAATTCGATCGTCAACGCCGAGGTCAAGCTGAATGAGAAACGCTCTCGGCTGAGAAAGGCCAAAAATGATCACAAGCTCGCAATCTCGAAGATCCGGAAAGAGTTGGAAAACTTCAATCACCGGCTTCAGAGCGGTACGGATGAAAATCGACAGAAGCAGCGCTCGCTACAGCTCGAAAGGAATATCAAGCAAACCGAGGAGGCCACCGCCGCACTCGAAAGCCAGCTGGACACCTTGCAGAACGTCCCGGAGGAGGAACTCGAGGAATGGACAAACCAGAAGGCCAAATTCGACCAAGAGTTGGAACAGCTCAATCTGGCCAAGGAGGAACTCGTTGCTGCTCGAACTGCAATCTCCCGTGAGGTGTCATCTTTGGAAAGTGAATTGAATTCCACTGTGCAGAGGAAAGAACGCCTTCAGGGCCGCCGGACTCGCGTCAACGAACAGTACGAGCGCATTGTCTCTGCTAACGCACAGGGTCTGAACGAGAGGGAGCGTCGTGCTGCGGAACAATTTGCGAGGGAACAGGATCAAGCCAAGCTGGAAGTCAGCTTTAACGAGCAATTCTCCAGCATCGGTCAGTCTGTGCAGGAGTACCAGTTGCGCACCAATCAACTCTGGCAGCAAGCTGCCGCTATTGAACAAGCCATTCAGCAACAGCAACAGCAGCAGATGCTCCTGGATCCCGCTCCGCTCACTCCGGAAGGAAATCTGCCCGGCACGAACCCTCTCACCGATGCACCCAGTTTGTCCCTCGCCGCCTTGACTGCTGCTCCCACCACCCGATCAATCTTAGGACTGAGTTTCCCCGCGTTGAAATCCAGCCCTCTTCAGCAGACTTCGTCCCCTGTCGGTGATTCGCTGTCTCATCCAGCCAGCCCGGTTCAGGCTCCGTCTTACCTTGCCCACTTCCCGACATCTCCAATCGGCCATAGCGGTACCTACTTCGATGCTGATTTCGCTACGCGGGACCGCTCGTTCTCCAATCGATCTGCACGAAGCAGTCTGTATGGGTCTGATTTTGTGGACGCCCACAGCCGTCGACACCCTTATCAGTTCGATCTGTCGGATTCGGTTGCTGACAAGCGGAGCATCTCTGGCTCAGATGGCAACGCTCAAAGTGCGGGTGTCCGACCCATTGCTAGCCCGTTCCAGCGGGCCGGCAGCCGGGGCAGTGGCAGTGGAAGCGGCGGTAGTGGCAGTAGCGGCAGCGGCAGTGGTAGTCCCAGCTCGACTGGCAAGGGCAACTAGGATTTTGAGATGGAGTTTCTCGCTCTGGGGCACCTGACTCTCAAAACTCGTTGAATTCCTTTCCGTGTTTGTTGATCTTCATACGTGATGCTCCAGGTTGTGTGGGTGATCGTATGTCTTCGGGTTTGGTGGACCGACAGGGTTGATTGAGCCTGGAGCTGCGATGCTTGTTGATCTGGTTCTTATCGCAAGCCTATGAACAAATAAAACCGTGTCATTAAGTAGAGTCTAAACTTCCTACATTGCGATAAAAGAAACCTGTTGCATGAAGTCTGCTTGTAGTAATCAGGACTAGAGATCTATGAACTTTAGAACTTGTGTTCAGTGCATCCGACTAATGCTGTAAGTTAGTGTCTGTAGTGTCTGTAGTGTATGTAATGTGGCAGCGCGTAACTAGCTTGCACAGCCAGTAGCCAACTATATTGCATTCATCTTAAACCAACGAGCCATTCATACCTCTATGTCATCTGGTATATATTCCGTAAATCGAAAATCTTTATATAACAACCCCCAATGAATCAATCAACAAGGGTATAGGTACAGTACACTCCCACTCCCACTCCAACTCCACCAACCCAACGATTCCCAACTCCCACCTACGCAAGCCCTATCTTCCAAGCATAACATACAAATCCAAGTCCAACCAATATACACCACTCAAGGGGGAAACAAGGCGTTCAAATCTCTTTCCCCATCTCCCAAAACCGCGTATCCGCATACGTCAAACACAAATCCTTGGCGTCCTGCTGGACCTGGTGGTCCCTCATCGTGGCTGCTGCTTCTCCGGCATGTTTTGGACGGGTGATCGCCCGCACCACCCTCCCCACCACGATCGTGTGATCCTGCACCTGGATCGACTGCGGCAGCACTCGACACTCGAACACAAAGGGGAAATCGTCCACCACCTTTTCCTGGTCCTTTGGGTGTGCAGCACTTCCGGGGGATGGATTCCGGCGCCGTAATAACGGGAGAGGAGGGGGGTGTGCGTCTTTGGGGTTGGTGGTGCTGGTGCTGACGGTCTCGCTTTCGACGGGCGAGGGCGGCAGAGCCGCGAATTCATACCCCGCTGTCCCCGGCTCCTCCTCCTCCTCCCCTCCTGACGGACCCCCTGTCTCCGGGGCAGGCAAGATCCCTAGCCGACGGTTCCCGCGCGAGAAGTCCCGGGCGAGGGCGGCGGTGCGCGGATGCGGCGCGAGGAGGTGCACGAGAAAGCGGCCGGAGGACTGGAGGGCGGTGAGGGTTTCGGACGGGCGGCGGACGTTGAAGGAGATGATTGGGGTTGGGTGGAGGGTTACTGTGTTGAAAGACGAGACGGTCATGCCGCGGAAGGGGGTGGGGGATGAGGGAGGTTGCGATGGTGATGGGGATGGTGATGCGGAGGTGTGGGCGTGCGCGTGCGGATCGGTGGAGGTGATGATGGCGACGGGGTAGGGGACTTGGCGCATTAGTAGGCGGATTTGCGTTGATAGGTCCTGTTGGGTGGGCGGCGTGGGTAAGGGTATTTGTGAGGGCTGTTCTTCTTGTTCTTCTTGGTGGGTTGCGGGGGAGGTGGTGAGGGTTCGTTTGCTGGTGGTGATGGTGTGGGACGTTGGTTTTGCGGAAACGGTGGGAGTGGGTGTAGCAGGAATTGAATGTGGTAGTATTACAGGGGTGAGGACTAGAGAATGGGTCAGTTGATGTGCGATTGGGGCAGTTTAAAGGTGTTGGGGTGTACCTCTGAGCAAGCTGGAGCTTGCTGCAGTCCGGCCTGCTGCAAGCATGTGTCGAGAGTATGGAGGCATATTCGGGTAAGTTGTATGTTGGAAGTTGTCGTGATGAATGATGACGGGAGTATGGATGATTTGAGCTTGATACTCAATGTTGCAGCAGTAAATCAAGAACAATGCATTAACTAGTGCCCCTCAATATCATCGTGTATGTTTATGCAGTTAAGGAAAGTTAGTTAGAATTACCTCCGGAGGTTCCCCGAAGCGCCGATTGTCAAGGAAAGAAAAAAGGGCCGCCGGAGCAAACTGACCGCCTACCGGATCCGCGCGCATCCCAAATTTCCCCAGCAGCTCGGGAAAAAGAAGAGAGAGAAAACCGCCCCGAATTGACCGCATCCAAATCGCAGATCACAAATACAAAACACATATCACCCACTCCTTCTCTTGCTTTAATCCCCTGAAGGTCCAGGTCCCAAGACCAGACCCGAAACTATATCTGCAACCCCCTCCAAAGAAAATGTCCTTCACCACCCCCCTCCGCCGCAGCACGGTCACGGCCACGGCCACGACGGCCCGGCTTCAACCCTCGACGACCTTCATCTGCTCGCAATGCCGCCATGCCACCCTCCTGCGCCGCCCCAAGCGGCCCTACCAGTTCACGCAGCTGATCACCCTGTCAGACGGCAGCACCTTCACGCACCGGACCTCCTCCCCGCTCCCCATCTACCGCTCCACCCGCGACACGCGCAACTCCGTCATGTGGAACCCCTCGTCCAGCCGGCTGGCCAGCCTGGAGCAGGACGAGGCCGGACGCCTGGCGGCCTTCCGTGCCAAGTTCGGTCGCGGGTTCGACACCAACACCGCCCCTGCTGGGAGCGAGGCCGAGAAGACGGCCGACGCCGAGGCGGCTCAGGCGGAGGCCGAGGAAGAGGACGACAACCTGTTGGATTTGATCAGTTCGTTCGGACAGCAGGAGGCCGGCCCTTCGGAGAAGAAGAAGAAGTGGTGATTTGGGTCTTAGTCGTTTGTTTGAGGAAGTTGAAGCGAAACGAAAGGAGGGGGCGAGGTTGATTGTTGGCCCCGGCCTTTTTTCCGCCTTCCTTTTTATTTTACCCCAGCTAGATTTGTACTATGTGACGGGCTTGAAGATGGGGAGGTGTTTCTGGGATCGTTGTTGTGGGATTGTTTTTCCCTCCCCCCCCAAATTTGTTTTTTTTATGTACAGTATACACACACATCGTCATCATACCACGCACCTATTTGAATGGAGTTTTCTTGCTTGTTCGTTTGTTTCAAATTTGACATTGGGATTAGACTACATGAGGTGAAGAAAAGTAAGGGCTTAAATGCGCTGCTAAACAGTTATCTGGGTTGCGTACTTGTTAAGAACTCGCCGGATATGAACAACTGTGCGCCGCACCGAGGGATTGCAAACGAGACACAAGGAGTATAAAGACTATGACAGTTGGAGGGCCGTCAATGAGTCGTGGCGGGTTATTTTATACAGAGGCGAGGGAGAACGGGATATCACTTAAGCCTCTTCCGCTGCTTCGGCTGGGGCTGTCTCCGGAACTGATTCGGTTGGAGCATCGCCTGCCCCAGGTGCACCATACAGCAAATTGCCTTCTTCTCCCGCGTCGAGCTGCATGAGGAAGGTCTCCCACAGTTCAATCAACTGCATCAGTCAGTATATGGTATTTCGGAGATTGAACCTGAAACACATACCTCCTTCTGGGCTTCGACGGCGCTCTCCAGGAATGTCTCCACACCAGACTTGAAGTCCTCCACCTTCTCCTTCTCGAATCGCTGGAGTTCATTCCGCATCAACCGGCCCATATCCTCGAACAACAACCGTGCCTGATGGGATTTCCGTTCAGCATCGGCCACGTCGGCATTGATCTGCGTGAGGCGATCCTGTTGGGTCTTTCCTTGCCTGAGCAGTTTCTCCTGGGTGTGCTTGCGTTTCTGCAATTCAGCCTCGGCCGCATGCCAGCTGTGGAATGCCTTTTGTCGTTGAGTGAACGCTGTCTTGACACTGCCAATCAGTCGCAAGTACTCGTCGATAGTAATTCCGAGGGTGAGAACATCCTGCTGTGCTTGACGCTCATATAACTCCCTGATACGCAACTGAAGGTCGGAAAGACCCTCCAAAGGGGCCGACAGTGCAGGAGAGAGCTCGACAGCAGCCAAGGCGTGAATTGATGCAGAAAAGTCGCCCGCTGCTTCGGCCAATCCTTTCCGCTGAGCCACCACGGAGTCGACAGACTTCAGCAACGCCTTCAGCTGATTCTCCAAGGCATCGAGATAGATCTTGCGGTCATGGAACCACTGCAGATTTGTCAGTCAAGCGTTCCATGTGGCTCGGGGATGCCGCTTACATCGTCATGTTCAACAAACTTCCCACCTCCACCAACATTAATCCCGAAAGAACTGAACATGCCCTTGCTTTGCCCGAGATCAGGTTCCCGATTTTCCTTGTTCTTCACGTCAAGGTTGAACGTGTCGCTCTCCAGGAAAATCTTCAGGTCCCCATCATGTTGAAGAATGGGATGCGCCGCAATCTTGTTCAACATGCGCTCCAGGGCAGCTCTTCGAGACTCGACGAAGTTCGTATCGAACCGACCTACTGCTTGCTTCTCCGGGGGTGGAGGAACAACGACACCGGGGTTGTTGTTGTGCATGGAGTTGTAGAGCCACAAGAAGTCGCGGTATCGCCGGCTGACCGTGAACTCCGGTTGTCTGTAGGCTTTAGAGGTCGTCTGGAATCCAGCGTTAGCGTCCTCTCAACCAAAGGGGCCGACTAGCTCGCAGCCCGACAAGCGACATCCATACCTTCGTCCTGACTTGATACACGATATGACTGCTCGTGAGATCTCCAACTTTGTGCGGGTCGCCAACAGTGATGTCAAAAGTCGGATTCGCGGCCTTCTCGACGCTGATGCTGGGTTCGGACTGTCGCTTTGACCCCTCCACATCACTCGGGGGCTGGACCGGCGGAGGGCCTCGGAATCCCGCACCATCCTCTTCAAGGTTTACAGACTCTCCCAGCGCCGCACTACTGGATGCCTGCGATGCCGAAGAGGTCGGACGCACGCCGCGCGCGCCGAACGCCTCCTTTTGCGGTGGGGTCGGAGCCTGTTCGTTGGGGCTGCTTTCCGTGGCCTTGTCTCCAAGCGGACCGAGGGGGTCGAAAGAATCGTCGACGGCTTCTAACTTGGTCGCCTGCGCATTGATCCGGCGGGTGCCCCTGGGGCCTCTTCGGACGGGAGAACGGGAAGCATTGTTGGAGCTAGCTGGCTGTGTCGGTTGGTCGGGAGCTGTGTCAATGTCGGTTAGATTATGCGGACAGCAATTAAGGAGATATTAGAAGACGAACATGTCTCTTGAGTGTCAGTTTCGGGAGCGGTATGGGTGGGGGGCGACTGAGATGGGACGTCTGCATGCGGTGCATTAGAGGAGACACGATTGCGATTGTATCCGTGACTGCCTGATGTCTTGCTTACCGCCCCACGGGGAATCTCCTGCGTCGAGATCCATGAATAAGGATCAAATAGGAACAGGGATGCGAGAAAGATTTGAGTTCGGAGTATGGAATTGGTAAAATGGTGTCCGAATAGCGAGGAAGACAGGTACGGAGGGACGGAGGTGAAGGAGGAGGAGGAGGTGAAGGAGGGACCGCGGGATGGAGGAGTGATTGGCGATGACGGGGAGCGATTCAGTCAGTCAGTCTGTCTGTCTGTCCGTCGACAGGGCGGCCCGCCTTGACGAGCCTGAGGATCCCGCGCCAACTCCGAATGGTTTAGGCTTCTCCCGCCAAGACCCTCCACCCAGCGAGCTGTTTACAGTAACTTGTTATTTACTTAGCTACTACTTCGTAGTTGTACAAGAATGACATGAATTAGGCTTCATGTACGAAAGAGTTGATCGTGTCTACTCTACACTACAGAAATATGCTGTGCGATTGGCATACATTCGTCATTGCATGAAAGCTCGTGTGAATCTCTCTCTTCCATAATCAACTTTGACCACGCTTTCATCCCATATATATAAACTCCGCTTCGTCATCATGGCTATGCTACTAACGAACAAGATCCTTATTTCACCCAGGGAAGACCAAGCTTGTGCATTTCCACAGCCAGCTGGAACAGATAGTCCAAGCTCTCACACTGAGTCTTCGCCTTGGCAACATTGTCACCCCAGACGTAGCTAGATGCGCCTCCAATTAGTCTCCAGTCAACCATACAAATGATACGCGAGCGCGATGACTTACATTCCGTGTCTACGGACAAGGACGGCATAGGTGTCCGGATACGCATCCATCGCCTTCTCCAAGCTACCAGTCAGATCCTCCTCGAACGCCGTGTTGTCGATGATGGGGATGCGCAGGGTATCGAAGAAGCCCAGGTAGCCCTTGCCCTTTCCAGCGGGAATACCCTTGATCTGCTCAATGTTGCTGATCTCAAAGCAGGCATCGGGGCCCTTCTCGCGCTCGACCAGAAGCGTCACCAGGACGGCCCACTGGGAGTGGGTGTGAATGCAGCATCCGGCGCCACGTTCAAAGGCGGCCAAGAACAGAGGAGTGCAAGCGGAGGGGTTCAGGTTGAGAGGTTTGCGGATGTACTTGCGCTCAGACGGGGGGTACTTGGGCGTGGGGAACTGCAGGACGAAGATGTTCTCAGACTTCATCATCTCCTTCTGCACACCGGAGGGCGCGATGAAAATGTGTTCGCCCTGGCGGATGGAAGTCTACACAGAACGTTTCGAATTAGCACACGCATTTTGGGTCATCCTCGAGGATTGCGACAGCTCCGTACCCCACCACCAGTACCGGTAACCCAACCCCAGTTGTAGAACCGGCGACAGAGATCAGGAATCAGGTTAGCCGGGTGCTCCGGGTCGGAGGATTGAACCAGGTGGTCATTGTTCTGGTTCTCGTGTTCTTGGCACATGGCGATTATTGTTGGGGTTGTGCCTCCGCAGATTGGCAGTGTAGATCCCGGTGGTCCGTGACGGCGGCTGGAAAGTGATCGCAGCGCCTCTTTAGTCTGTTGTCCGTGAGTGACTGAGAACCTCCAGACTTATATGCCCTTGCGACAATCGGTATGTCTCGAGTCACACAGCGACAAATGTTGTGGTGTGACAGGAAGAGAAGAGGGGAGGTCGAAAAAAAAAGACGTTGGGCGGGGAGGGGAAGAAAAGCATCGGCCATTAATTTCAATTAAGGTAGCGGGGGGGAGAAACACTTGCGCCATCGGCTGGTTGTCATTGGCGGACAGGCAGTACATGATGGATGACAGATTGAAAAAGAAGCCCCCAAAGCATATTTTTCTGATAAAAGTAGGGGCGCTTTTGCTCTCAAGGGATAGGCGTAGAGGCATATCTGATCTATTTGAATCTTGCGAGCACGAACATCAAGAAGGTCATGCACCACAGCTGGGGGTAGCACAAGCAGTGTTTCTGCTAAATTACCCCAATGACAGTACCGAAACAGAGCGAATACGCGCTAGGACGGCGTAATTCTTTGGCAGGCTGGCTAAACCAAATCGGGCAGGCGGGACCTTACCCGCGGGCCCCAAAGAAGCAGCGGCCGCGGAAGAGAGAGGAAGAGGCCACCTGGAACTTCCCAGCTTCATGCAGCTTCTTATATAACCAACCTTCCATTTCCCCCATTCTCCCCCGTTCTTCTGTCTTCACATACCCTCCACCTCCCACCCTCCCCCATCCCTGCTTGTCGCCCCATTGTACCGCGACTTCTTTGAGATATTCTCTCCTACAATCACCCGGCCCATCGAGGTTAATTCGCGGGTGCGCTCGTGTGTTTGTTTTCGTTGTTCTAGCCTCCAGAGCGCCAATCCCCATTCACAATGCGTTTCAACGCTGCCTTGACTTCCGCCCTGGTCTCCTCGGCCTCCATCATGGGCATGGCCCATGCTGACGAGACCGAGAAGAAGCCCGAGACCACCTCCATTGCGGAGAAGCCTACTTTCACCGTATGTTGAATCGTCGCCCGGTTCTTTCTGACCACAGTTGCATAATGCTGACTCCGCACCAATAGCCTACCACCCTCAAGGCTCCTTTCTTGGAGCAGTTCACCGATGACTGGGATAGCCGGTGGACTCCTTCCCACGCCAAGAAGGAGGACTCCAAGTCTGAGGAGGACTGGGCCTATGTTGGCGAATGGTCTGTCGAAGAGCCTACTGTGCTGAAGGGAATCGAGGGAGACAAGGGTCTCGTCGTTAAGAATGTTGCTGCCCACCACGCCATCTCCTCCAAGTTCCCCAAGAAGATCGACAACAAGGACAAGACCCTGGTTGTCCAGTATGAGGTCAAGCCGCAAAGTACGTCCTGTTCATCGCATATGTACGGCCAACTCGAAGGGTTGCTGACCATTCGCTTTTAGACTCCCTGGTTTGTGGTGGCGCCTACCTGAAGCTTCTCCAGGACAACAAGAAGCTCCAGTCTGAGGAGTTCTCCAACGCCTCTCCTTACGTTATCATGTTCGGTCCCGACAAGTGCGGTGCCACCAACAAGGTACATTGGCTTTCTGCAAACAATTGACGTGTGTAGCAGCAACTAATCATTTTCTAGGTGCACTTCATCTTCCGTCACAAGAACCCCAAGACCGGCGAGTACGAGGAGAAGCACCTGAAGGCTCCTCCTGCCGCTCGTACCAACAAGGTCACCTCCTTGTACACTCTGATTGTCCGCCCCGATCAGACTTTCTCCATTCTGATTGATGGTGAGGAGGCTAAGAGCGGTAACTTGCTCGAGGACTTCAGTCCTGCTGTCAACCCCGAGAAGGAGATTGATGACCCTAAGGACAAGAAGCCCTCCGACTGGGTCGACGAGTCCAAGATCGCTGACCCTGAGGCCACCAAGCCCGAGGATTGGGATGAGGATGCTCCTTACGAGATCGTTGATGAGGATGCCGAGAAGCCCGAGGATTGGCTGGAGGATGAGCCCACCAGCATTCCTGACCCCGAGGCCGAGAAGCCCGAGGACTGGGACGATGAGGAGGACGGCGACTGGGTTCCTCCCACTGTTCCCAACCCCAAGTGCCAGGAGGCTGCTGGCTGTGGTCCCTGGACTGCTCCCCTGATCAAGAACCCCGCCTACAAGGGCAAGTGGACTGCTCCTCTGGTCGACAACCCCGCCTACAAGGGTCCCTGGGCCCCCCGCAAGATTGCCAACCCCGCCTACTTCGAGGACAAGACTCCTTCCAACTTCGAGCCCATGGGCGCCGTAAGTTATCCCCTATCATCTCGGCTGTTGCGTGAACAACCGACTAATTCCTGAGACAGATTGGTTTCGAAATCTGGACTATGCAGAACGACATTCTCTTTGACAACATCTACATTGGTCACTCCGAAGAAGATGCCGAGCAGCTCCGCAAGGAGACTTTTGATATCAAGCACCCCATCGAACTGGCTGAGGAGGAGGCCAACAAGCCCAAGCCGGAGGAGCAGGTTGTCGAGCCCAGCGTCAGCTTCAAGGAGAACCCCGTGGCCCACGTCCGCGAGAAGGTTGATCGTTTCGTTGGTTTGGCCAAGCAGGACCCCATCGCTGCTGTGAAGCAGGTTCCTGATGTTGCTGGTGGTCTCGCCGCCGTGCTTGTTACCATGGTGCTCCTGATCGTGGGTGCTGTCGGTGCTAGCAGCCCGGCTGCCGCTCCGGTTAAGAAGGGCAAGGAGGCTGCCAGCGCTGCCAAGGAGAAGGCTGCGGAGGCTGTCAGCTCTGCTACCAACACTGGCAAGGGCGGCGCCACCAAGCGCCAGACTCGCTCCTCTGCCGAGTAAACGGGCCTGCCTTGTTGACTCTGGGGAGAGATTAGAGATGACGCGGCCCAAAAGTGAGCATTCTGTGGGGAGGGACAGCTTCCGACCCAATATTTTGTTTTCTCTCGATTTCCATATTATACCTACCTGTTGCAGCGTTCAATCCACGATTTGTTCTTTTATTCCAAATATGTTGGTTGGCACAGCCAGAAGAAAGGCTGTTCCTGCTCCTGTCTGTGATGCGATATGAACGCCACGCTCGAGAGGCCTGCCTCGGATTGTTTTGAGACCTGTAAAGTAATTGATGAGTAACTGATGGAAGAACATCAATCATATGGTTTAAGATCGTCCCTAGCTTAGTAATTGAGTCTTCACCTTGGAGTATCTTCTGCGGTTGGAGTTGTGAGAAGCCTCAGAAATGAGAATCCGACAATTGCATCTGTCCGCGGAAAAGAGGTAATACTAAATCCACTAGATATTAACTTATAAGTGCAAACAAAGACTTTTGATCGGAACGTCCTGCCTAGTATCAAGAACGATGAAAATTCCTTCTAGGTCATTGTAGTATACCTGCCAGGAGGAGCGGATGGATGAATTGAGAGATGGTCGGGATACCTAGGTAGTACCTACTCCTGTAGAGATGACCAGATTGGCAAGTAGTTCCGTGGGGCATGATGATTGGTGGTCAACGCCGAGGAAGGGCGATAACCGCATTCATTATCAGTGATTGTTAACGGTTGTGATCCAGTCATCCAGTGATACCGGTCCAGTGACGGAGCCTCGGCGGCCAGGAACGGAGGGCCAAACCTGGGGAAACTTACTCCAACTTCTTATTAAGTAGTAGCTATCCCTCCGAGTCCCTCCTGCAGCTTCCCCCCCTCCTTCTCCTCACGCGCTGAGCTGTCACAACGTCTGTGCTGTCAACAACCTAGTACTTCTCTATAAATCAGTCCCCAGTCACTCTCAATTTCTCTTCTTCCCTTTTTCTCATGATGGCCGCCCATCGCTCTCTTGCCCGCTCTCTCCCCACTCTCCGCGCTGCTGCTCCCCGCACGGCCCTCACCGTCCCCAGATTATCCGCCACCAGAACGTCTGCAGCTTTAGCTTCACGATCCAGACATCTTTCTACCGCTATCATGGCTCCCTCTTCTCTTTTGGCATCTTCATCCCCTTCTACCACTCGCAGTCTGCATGCCACAGCCCAGCAACGGACCCCCGCAACCACCTCCGCGGCCTCCACCGCCACCGACTATCCTACCGATCACAGCCCTGTTTCGAACCCCATCGATACCACCAACTTTCTGGACAACGAGTTTGTACAATCCAAGGCAACCACTTGGATTGACTTGCATGATCCAGCTACCAACAACCTCATCACTCGTGTGCCTCAAAGTACCGATGCGGAGCTGAAGGCTGCCGTTGAGTCCGCCCAAAAGGCCTTTCCGGCCTGGCGCGCGACCAGCGTGATTGCCAAACAGCAGATCATGTTCAAGTTTGTTAGCCTGATCCGGGCCCACTGGGACCGCCTGGCTGCCTCGATCACCCTGGAGCAGGGCAAGACCTTTGCCGATGCCAAGGGCGACGTTCTCCGTGGTCTTCAAGTGGCTGAAACCGCCTGTGGCATCACCACCCAATTGACCGGCGAGGTGCTCGAAGTCGCCAAGGATATGGAGACTCGAAGCTACCGCGAGCCTCTGGGTGTTGTGGCCGCCATCTGTCCCTTCAGTTAGTATATTCCCCGACCGGCGGTATTTGCCGAGGCTAACCGCGGGTTCCCAGACTTCCCCGCAATGATTCCCCTCTGGTCGATCCCCGTCGCCACCATTACCGGTAATTGCTTGATTCTCAAGCCCTCCGAACGTGACCCCGGCGCAGCCATGATTCTGGCCGAGCTGGCTCGGGAAGCTGGTTTCCCACCCGGTGTGGTCAACATCGTGCACGGCTCCGCCAAGACGGTTGATTTCATCCTCGATGAACCTTCCATCAAGGCTATCAGCTTTGTTGGCGGTAACCGTGCCGGTGAGTACATCTACACCCGGGGTTCTGCAAATGGCAAGCGTGTCCAGGCGAATCTGGGTGCGAAGAACCACGCCGCGGTCTTGCCGGACTGCAACAAGAACCAAACCCTCAATGCTATTGTTGGCGCTGCCTTCGGTGCTGCTGGTCAGCGCTGCATGGCCCTGAGCACAGTGGTGATGGTCGGAGAAACCCAGGAATGGCTGCCCGAGATCGCTGAGCGGGCCAAGGCATTGAATGTCAATGGTGGTTTCGAAGAGGGTGCGGATCTCGGCCCTGTCATTAGCCCCCAGAGCAAGAAGCGCATCGAGGATCTGATTGCCAGCGCCGAGGAAGAGGGTGCCACTATCCTGTTGGATGGTCGTGGTTACAAGCCCGAGAAGTACCCCAACGGCAACTTTGTAAGTGGTCTCCGCAAGTGCTGCATTGAATCTTGACTCATGAGATCTCTCTTCTCTAGGTTGGACCTACTATCATCACCAACGTGACCCCTGAGATGAAGTGCTACACGGAGGAGATCTTCGGCCCTGTCCTGATCTGCTTGTCGGTGCCTACGCTCGATGACGCTATCGAGCTCATCAACAAGAACCCGTATGGTAACGGCGCGGCCGTCTTCACCCGCTCTGGCCCGACTGCCTCGCGCTTCCAGAAGGACATTGAGGCCGGCCAGGTCGGCATCAACGTGCCGATCCCTGTCCCGCTGCCCATGTTCTCTTTCACCGGTAACAAGAAGAGTATCGCCGGTGGCGGTGCCAACACCTTCTACGGCAAGCCTGGGTTGCAGTTCTACACTCAGCAGAAGACTGTGACGAGCCTGTGGCGCAGCGAGGATGCGATCAGCACCAAGGCCCATGTTGTGATGCCCACACACTCGTAAGGTCGATGGAAAACAAGGGAAAAAATGAGAATAGAAATCAAAAATACCTTGAATGTTGCATCATGCCTATATGCGGTGTTAGCTTTCACGCTGGGTTGCTGAATTAGCCTTGTTCATATCATTGTTTTTTTTTTAAAATTGAATCTCCGAGGAAGAGTGTTATACCTGCATCTTAACGGCGGCTGGTGAACAAATTGCTGAGGATGAAGGCGTCTGTGTACTGTAATCTCAGATTCATTTCAGTTAACCGTATTGATTCATTTAAACAAGTGCATGCATCAAGTTTTGTATCAATAAGATTCAATTAGGTCTTTTCTGAACAGCTTCGGGAGGAGAACCGGCCAGTCTGGTCTCGGACACTGAACGAGCGGGACGTAATAATACTTTACAGTAGACCTGCCACATAAAGATGATAGGCACAGAGCACTCCTATCGAACATTCTCCCGCCCAATCCACAGTGCAACCCACTCCTTGTTGGCTGATAGAAATTATTCCTTCTTCGGGCCAGCATAACTATACACGAACCTGGCCATCTCGACGTGCTTATCCTTTGCAACAACTACACGACGGGTGTAGTAGCGTTGCCCATCGATCACCTCAAAGCCCCAGATCTACCAGCACTTCAGTCAGCGTATGCATCGATACGATATATGCCCCGCTCCATCAATACTGATTAGTGAACGGAAGAGAGAAAATACGAACCTGCTCTGCCGTCCATCCGTTGTCCAGACTCTCCACAAAGCTCTGGAACCACAGACCCTCGCCCTCACCGAATTCCTGGCCCAAATCCTCAACCACGAATCCGTCCGCCGGCTTCCCGTCCGCCAGGATCTCCCCGTTGAGGAACTGGGCCACCTTGGGATCCTCGCTCTTGGTCAGGAACGCGAAGTTGGGACGGGCTTTGCCATCGCTGCTGCTGCTCCCGCGGATGTACCGCGATTGGCCCTGCACATGGCCGAAGATGTGGTCGGTGTGTTCGCGCTTCTTGCCGTCGCTGATGCGGTTCTCACTGGTTCCCTTGATGCCACCCGTCAAGGTCTGGTCGATCTTGATGTGGATGATGGTAGAGTCCTCCGGGTTCGGGTGGGTGTCGATGTAGAGGGTGATGGTGGCGAGGTTGAGGGCTTTACGAGTGAGCCAGCTCATTCCTTGCTGCGTAGCGACTTGTTAGTCTTGGGGAGAGCTGAAGATACCGAGGTAGAAGTGAGGGGATGTTTATACCAGTGACAGGATTGCGTCTGTAGGGTTGGACAGGGTTTTGTTCTGTAGGTGGTTTCATTAGTGACGGAACATTCCATTCAGCTGGTGATGAAGCATCATGTCATTATCCAGCGTACCATTGTCCATTCTCCGCTGAGATTCTTGATGGTGACTTCTGCGGGGGCGGCCATTTTCGGTGCTGAGGGGTAAGAATTTCACTCAAAATGAGGATAGGTTTTAAGATACGCTACCGAGGAGTAAGGATAGAGAAGAGGAGAAGAATTGATATGTTTCCAGTAGAGGGATAAGCGAGAGGGACAGTGCAGGATTGAAGGAGCAAGTTGACGGGTGGGACAAGGACGCTTTAAAGGGTACTACTGTACATCTCGGTAACTGGCAGGTAGTGCTGAAGACTCAGGGTCAATCGGCCCCTTCATGTGATCGTCGCTTCCCTCCACTGCAGCCTCGTTAAATGCCATTTCTCTCGATTTAATCAAAATGGGGCAATTGCGGCCGAGGTTGGCTTGAGGAAAGTCCGGTCTGGGAAACATGTGTTGCGGAGTAATTCTAACCGCCGCGCCGCCGAAGACGCTCTGATCGCCCTTGCCTTTGATAGTCAATAATGTCATGATTATTGTTTCTATTGTTGTTGTTGTTGTTGATGTATGTACTGTAAGTTACTGTATAGTAGTGTATCGTCGAACCGGACTGTATGTATGGTTCCTTCGTAATGTGTTTACCCGCCCCTGGCACGTGAACAAACATTCCCCTTCACTTCCTCTTGAGGATCACTTCATCTCCAGCCCTTCCCCGCAACAGTAGATGAATCTTCGCACTCAATCACATAACTGGACGCCATGTCTTTCAACCGGAAATACGCCGGTCTTCCTGACCTGGTCAGCATAACTCCATTGCCAGTAGTCCGGCCGGACTAAAATCTAACAACGACGTGCAGGATCTCGCTCCCGATATCTACGAGACTCCCGATCTGACCGACGGAGCTTCTACTATCCCGGTTCGCTGCCATGTCTATCGTCCGCGCGCGGGTGTCCTTCCCCATTCTGACAGCTTATCGGCGAACAGACCACAACTCTTCGCACCGCCTCCAACGTAGACGACGATGCTGGCGACAACTCTGATATCGATCGCCAAGGCATCAACGCCGACGTGGCGCGCGCCCACTTCCTCGGTGCCACCGTCGACGCCCGCGAAGCCAATTTCTCAGACAGCATAGCCGCGAAACGCAAAGCATACAGAAGCAAGAGCCGTCGGCGACGGAGACATGATCTTGGAGCCGACGAACTCGATGATCTCAGCGACAGTGAAGACGAAAGTGTGGAGCGCAAGCTGGCTCGTCTGCGCCGCGAAGTCGAGGAACTGAAAGATCAGCTGGCAACGCAACAATCTAGTACTGAGTCTGCGGAGACAGCCGCTCTGAGCAAACCTGGAACAGATGGAACAGATGGTGTGCTGGAACTGAGTCGCGCATTGGACAATCTCTACGCATCCTCGCGCAGTGGCCCCTCCGGCTCCCACTCGGCCGCAGCTGTCCTGTCTCAAAAGCTCGCCTCCACCTCCACTCCAGATTCCCCGGTCAGCAACCCCGCTCAGCTGGACGATCGTAAGCCCACCAACAATCGCCCACAAACACCCCCGTCCCCGTCCGCGACCGGCGGTGGAGTCCTCGCCCATGCGGCCTCTTTCGATGGGCGACTGGCTCTCATTGAAGCGGCCATGGGAATCTCCAGCTCCTCGAATCCCTTTGTCAACGATGCCATCTCTGAACCGGACCTTCAACCGGTTCTTCCTGCGCTCGACCACCTCACCTCTCGCCTCGCCACGCTTATGAACCTCCTCGTCGGCCCGAACCCCGTCTCCGCCTTCCCAAGCATGGGCTCAGCTCCCCCCGCCACGACCGTCACCACGCCTCATCTCGAGTCCCTATCCAGCCGCGTGCGCAAACTAACCGCCGACACGGAGGCCCTGGCCGCCGCGCGTAAGCGCGCCGTCGACGCCGCCAAAGCGGCCCAAAACGCCCGTATCTCCTCCACGGCTCTCGAGCCCTCCGACATGTCGGTCTCATCTTCGTCCGCCACGGAAGTCGACCCCGCCACCACTCAGCGTGACGAGCAAGCCACCAAGATCCAGGCCCTCTATGCTACTCTCCCCACCATCCAGTCTCTCCACCCGATTCTCCCCAGCGTCCTCGAACGACTGCGCTCGCTGCGCGCCATCCACGCCGGGGCCGCCCACGCCTCGGAGTCGTTAGATGTGCTGGAAAAGCGACAAGCCGATATGGCTCGGGAGATTGAGCAGTGGCGCGAGGGGCTTCGGGTAGTAGAGGAGAAGATGAAGCAGGGCGAGGCGGCGCTGAAGAATAATATTGAGACCGTGGAGCCGTGGGTCAGGGACTTGGAGAGTCGGCTTGACAGGTTGGGAGTCAGTGGGGTGTAGATGGTACAATACAGCATGTAAAGCAAGATAAGGATGGATTTGAGTTTACGAAGGTGACCCGGCAAGTGCAGGCCATGAGTTGTCGGGTGTATTCTTTGGTTTATGTTAAGCGGAAGAAGACATTCAGGTTTATGATAAGAATGTACATACACTAATACCATTACTTGCATATGCCAGGGAAAATCTACATGAGACCTCAGTGATAAGCCCAGAGGCAAATGAGTCGATTGTTTACTATCCTTAAGCGAGGTTCTTCTCAACTTGTGATTCTGAACATACAGTAGATCGAATGTATCTGCCTCACTGATGGATTCTAATTTTGCATAAAGCTGGACCCCTCTTATAATGGGACTTCAATTTCATACATCCATGATAAGCGTCATGACTACCTGAGTAAGTAGTAACTTAAATCCCCAATGGCCGCCTAAACCGATGCCTGCGCACGTGACCGCGCGCCGTCTTCCCCGCGTCCGCCGACGCGCTCGCTTTTCTTATCAAAGGATGGGCTGGCTGGGTCCGGGCTCGATGACGGAAACCCGGCGTACTTGGTGAAAGTGGTTCAACAACTTGATGCAACCAGGCTGCTTGACGGCCCTCTCTTAGACAGCCTCAAGATGTAAGTTCAAATTTTCGAAGAACCTTGCAAGCTTCGCATTTGGTGTATGGATTATAACTAACCCCGAGTCTATCTGTCTGCAGGTGTAAGTGAAGTGAAGTTGGAAGTGCCGCGGAGCTAGATCTGGAAGCAAGAAGTCTCCGACGCTGACTTTTGCACAGCGAAGATAGATAAGCTTTCGATTTTGGGGTAGGTTTTGTGCTTTTGTCCGGCTTAGGTGTCTTGTTCGCAAGTCGCTTTTGTTTTTTTTTTCGACCTTTTTGTTTGGGCTGTTAACTGACTGGGTGTTTCTTTGCCTTGATAAGTGTCCGCTCGTTCGACAATACCCGCAGCGAGACTATCCAGTTTCACACGCCGCTTACGTTGATTGTTGGGTATAATGGATCGGGAAAGACGGTATTGCATTTTTCTGTCCAAGGGATTATGGGTTGTTAGGCTGATGTGATGGAAGACGATTATTGAATGTCTCAAGTATGCGACTACCGGTGATCTTCCGCCGAATAGCAAGGGTGGTGCATTCATCCATGATCCGAAGGTACGGGTTTCCAGAATGGACTAGATGTACACGAGAGGGCGACTGCTGACGATAGGGTCAGTTGTGCGGCGAAAAGGAGGTGCTGGCGCAGGTCAAGCTGTCCTTCAAAGCGACCTCGGGCGCCAAGATGGTGGCGACGCGGAGTCTCCAGCTGACGGTGAAGAAGACGACGCGGCAGCAGAAGACGCTGGAGGGCCAGCTCCTGATGGTCAAGGACGGCGAGCGGACGGCCATCTCGTCGCGGGTGGCCGAGCTGGACCAGATCCTGCCGCAGTACCTGGGCGTGTCGAGGGCGATCCTCGACTCGGTCATCTTCTGCCACCAGGACGAGAGCCTGTGGCCCATGAGCGAGCCGTCGGTGCTCAAGAAGAAGTTCGACGAGATCTTCGAGGCGATGAAGTACACCAAGGCGATCGACAACATCAAGCAGCTCCGCAAGAAGCAGAACGAGGAGCTGGCCAAGTACAAGATCATGGAGCAGCACGCCAAGGAGGACAAGGAGAAGGCCGACCGCGCCGAGAAGCGCTCCATCAAGCTGCAGGACGAGATCGAGGCCCTGCGCGCCGAGACCCAGCAGCTCTCCCAGGAGATGCGCCGCGTCGCCGACCTGGCGGACAAGGCCTGGAAGGAGTCCGAGAGCTACTCCCAGATCCTGGGCGCGCTGGAGGGCAAGCGCATCGAGGCGAAGAGCATCCAGACGACGCTCGATAACCTGCAAAGACATCTGGTGGAGCTCGACGATTCGGATGAGTGGCTGGAGGCGAATCTGGAGCAATTCGAGACAAAGCAACTGCAGTACCAGCAGCAGGAGGAATCGCAGAAGGAGAACTACATGGAGATCAAGGAGCAGATCGAGAAAGCGCGGCAGAAGCTGGGTCTCAAGCAGGCTGAGTACGGGAAGTTCGAGAACGACAAGGCGAACTTCGAGCGCCAGGTCGAGAGGCGACAGCGCATGACCAGAGAGATTGCGCGGAGCCACAGCATCCGCGGGTTCGATAACGTGGCGGACCAGGCGGATGTCGACGAGTTCATGCGGAGAATTAGGAAGATCCTCAAAGAGCAGAATCAGGTGCTGGAGCGAGTCAAGCGGGAGGCACAAAGTGAGCTGCGTGAGGCGCAAAGCTCCCTGAATCAGCTTGGACAACGCAAATCGGCACTGCAGGAAAGTAAGATCGCGGCCAAGCGACAGATGGCCTTGAACGACCGAGATGCGGCTTCCTATCAAGCAAAACTCAATGAGATCAATGTCGATGAGGGCGTGCAGGCTGCGCTGGAGACGAACATTGAAGACATCAATTCTCGCTTGGATCAGGCCAAGGAACGCTCACGATCCGCTTCGTGGGATAAAGAGATCCAGAACATCAACTCGGAGATCCGCAGTCTCGAGGACGAAAGCTCCCGCCTGAACACCGAACTCATCGAAGCCACTAAGAAGGCTGGTGATCTCGCCCGGTTGGACCACCTTAAAAAGGAACTGAAGGAAAGGGAGCGCAGTCTGGAAACCATGAAAGGGGCTCATGGCGAACGACTCTCCAAATACGTTAAACCCACTTGGAGCGCCGAAACCCTGGAGCAAGACTTCAACCATGTTCTAGAAGAAGAGTCAAGACACGTCTCGAAGGCGGAGCGTGAACGCGACGGCGTCAGCCGCGAGCTGGAACAAGTAGAGTTCAAGCTGAAAGAAGCGAAGAAAGCCTTGGGTCAGCGGCAGAAAGAACTCAAGGAGAGCGTCACAGAAATCCGTGAAGCCATTGGTGAAGAACCCGAGGAATATCTTGAGATCGTCAAAGAGCGGCAGATCCAGCTTGATCTTGCGCGCAAAGATACGGAGCAGTTTGCTGGCATCAGCACGTACATGAAAGACTGTCTTGCCACGGCGAAGTCAACGAAGGTTTGCCGGTTGTGCCAGCGGGGCTTCGAAGCAGACAGACAATTACAGATCTTCATCAACAAACTTGAGGGCTTGGTCAAGCGAAACCAACGTAATGCTGAAGACGAGGATATCCGACAATTGGAGGAAGACCTCAACACTGCGCGAGAAGCTATCACGGCCTACAACACGTGGACACGATTGAAGGAAACAGAAATCCCGAGTCTGGAGAAGGAAGAGGAGCAATATGTTCTCCAACAGGACAAGCTCCTCAATCAATTAGAAGAACACGACCAGATCCTCGGCGAGAAGACCGAGAAGAAGAAAGAGGTCGAAGCACTTTCCAAAACCGTCAGCACTATCGTCAAGTATGACAGCGAAATCAAGTCTATCCGCTCTCAGATACAAGAACTCTCTTCAAAGCAAGATGACAACACTGGTTCACGCACCCTGGAGGATATTCAGGAAGAAATTGCTGGGATTGGCGAGCGGTCCCGCGCTCTGAAGAAGACATTGTCAAAAGTCACCCATGACAAGGAGCAGGCGTTAGCGGAGATCAACAATCTGGAATTGCAGCTCAGAGATGCTAGGAGCAACCTAGATAACGCCAAGTTCCAGCTCGAACGGAAGGCAGATCTTCTCACTCGCCTGGCAGAGTTCAAGAACCTCAACAACGAACAGCGTGCCGCGATCGCGAAGGCGGACAAGGACATTGAGGAACTCACTCCTGAACTACTCAAGATCCAAGCTCAAGTCGATGACATCAGTCAACGCGCCGAGGCTCGTGAAAGGGAATTGCAGCAAGGAATTTCCCAACTGTCCGATAGCGTACATCAGCTGGAAATCGCAAACGAGGAGATAGAAGCCTATAACGAGCGAGGAGGTCCCACTCAGCTCGAGCGAAGCAAACGAGAACTCCAGGCCATCGAGAACGAGATCGGCGAGCTTGAATCCGAACAGGCCACGATCACGAAAGAGATCAACCGGATCTCAGCCCAGCTCAAAGACAGCGAAAACACCAAGCGCCAATACGCCGACAACCTGACGTACCGCCAGGCGACCCGGGCCCTGGACAAGGTCAATGTGGAGATCGAGCAACTCGCCGCGCAGAACGCCGAGGTCGACCGCAGCCGCTTCAAGGAGGAATCGGAGCGCCGCACGCGCGAGCACAACGCCCTGGCCGCCAAGCAAGCGAGCAAGATGGGCGAGATGAAGTCCAAGGACGACCAGCTGTTGCAGCTGCTCGCCGACTGGGACACGGACTACAAGAACGCGGCGAGCAAGTACAAGGAGGCGCACATCAAGGTGGAGACGACGCGCGCGGCGGTCGACGACCTGGCGCGCTACGGCGGCGCCCTCGACAAGGCCATCATGAAGTACCACGGCCTGAAGATGGAGGAGATCAACGCCATCGTCGGCGAGCTCTGGCAGAAGACCTACCGCGGCACGGACGTCGACACCATCCTCATCCGCTCCGACAACGAGAACGCCAAGGGCAACCGCTCGTACAACTACCGCGTCTGCATGGTCAAGCAGGGCGCCGAGATGGACATGCGCGGCCGCTGCAGCGCCGGCCAGAAGGTGCTGGCCAGCATCATCATCCGCCTCGCCCTGGCCGAGTGCTTCGGCGTCAACTGTGGCCTCATCGCCCTCGACGAGCCCACCACCAACCTCGACCGCGACAACATCCGCTCGCTGGCCGAGTCCCTCCACGACATCATCCGCACGCGCCAGCAGCAGGCCAACTTCCAGCTGATCGTCATCACCCACGACGAAGAGTTCCTGCGTCACATGCAGTGCGGCGATTTCAGCGATTACTATTACCGGGTTTCGCGGAACGAGCGCCAGAAGTCCATCATTGAGCGCCAGTCGATCGCTGAGGTATGCTGCAATGCCCATCCATGGTACGACGATTTAATGCTAACGGGTGTCTGCAGGTTATGTGATTGTGACTTTATGTCGCTGGCTGCCGGTGGGCAGATTCGAGGCTCTTATGCATGGCATGGCTCCTACGAGGATAGGGGACGTTCTTCCAATCAAGGATCAAAAGTGGTACAGTACACATTAGCTTACTTCATGTACTGTACATCATACACAAACATTAGCAGAAAGCATATGCCGGCGTTTTAGGGGGGGGGGACTGCAGTACAACTACGTCATTAGTATCTTATCTCCTTCACACTATTCTGTCGTTCAAGACCGCTAGATAAAGACACAAGCTACAAAAGGGAAAACGACCCATTTCCAAACTCTAAAGGACCTCCGCGTCATCATCCAACAACGGCACGAACCGAAAGTCCACGAAACTGACCACAGGCGCCAAACCCCCTCTAGCCGACAACCTCGCCCCACTGGTGCCAGCATGGACATCGGACTCGATCATGAACTGCAAGCTCAGCACCCCCTGCCGATCGCCCCGGATACTGACCTTATTCGCCACGGCCATCGCGCGGCTCGCTTTCTGGACCGCCTTGAACCTGTAATCCTGTCGGATGTGCTGCGACCCCCCCGACGATGCCGAGGAGGGCGGACTGACCAGAAACGTCTCGGTGACAGTCGGGGCGAGGCGGGCTCGTTTCGCGCGGGAGGCACCCTCATCATTATTATCTTCACGGGGAGCGGCACCGGATGCGGTGGGGGGCTGATTCTCGACGGAGAACTCGACGGAGGACTCGCTGAACGAGCCGCCGGCGCCGGCCAACGCGAAGAACGGCTCGTGGGTCGCGGAGGCCGAGATTTTGAGGACGGTCGGGTCCGTGGCTGCCAGCTCGGTGATGGCGTTGTGGAGCCAGGCCGACCGCATGATGATCTTCATGATGATCGCGTCGCGTTGCAGGGGGATCTCGATCTCGCCGCCTTCGGGCTCGTATGTGGTTAATTCGCAGGTGGTCTGGATGCCGGTCTCGGTGAGCGTGATGCTCAAGGGACTGCCTTCCGTGGCGTAGCGGAGGGTGCACGAGCGGTCGAGGAGGAGGGCTGGCGTGGTGAAGGCGCTGTGGGAAGGGGCCGGTTGCACGCTGCCGGCGCGGGAGGAGCCGCTGCCGCCGGATGTGGAGTTGTCGTTGATGCCGAGGATCTTGAGCGTTTCGAGAAGGGCGGTGAGCGAGACTTCGAAGCACGGGTAGTAGGGGGTTGGGTCGTCGGTGGAGGGGGACTCGGTGTCATCATGGTCGCTATGCTCGTCGGTGGGGGTGCGAGCTGCGGCTGGTGGTGGTGGTGGTGGTGGTGGTGGTGGTGGATTGAAGGTGTAACTGGTGAAGAGGGCCTTGTCGAGGAATGCAAGCCCCTGCACCGTTCGGGTTTCTTCCACGGAGAAGCGGATGCCGTCGGGCGTGAGCTGCACGGTGGCCTTGGGTGCGAATCCGATGCATTGGAGCAGGGTGTAGAGGTGGTGGGCGTTGCTGGAGACCGCGGTGAAGATGGGTTCCACGTCCGCCATGGTATTCTGGCTCGGACTGAGCGCGGCGGCAGCGGTACGATGCGTGTGGAATAGGTTATATGAGGAGTGCAATGAGGGAGAGAGGGAGAGAGAGAGACAAAGGTGGTGTAGATATATGCTTCGTTTTTTTGGTTTTCAACTTTCCAGGATATGGTACATGGGTATCAGAGGAGGTAACTGGAACTTTAAACGTAAACTCCAACGGCACAGATCATATAGACGGCTCCGAAGCTGTTCCACGGACGTTAGTCATGGCCGGTTTGGTGGGACCGCGGGCGTGTTTCTTACCCAAACGCCAGCGATGCTGGGACGCCGAACAGGGCAATGCTGGTGAATGAACGGTCTGGTCAATTGGTAAGCACATGGCGAGAATAAGGTCAAATTCGAATCTTAATGGGTCGGTGACTGACTCAATCCAAAGAGACCAGTAAGTATGAAGGCTAGTGGGTCAAAAGGTCAGTAATCGGCAGTATGATAGCGACAAGAGGCAGGTTGAGCTCACCAGCAAGCAGGAGACTAAAGCCGACGAAGAACTGGCTATCTTTCGCGATAAGGGGAGAATAAGGGCTCGCAGAAGCTGCCTCCCAGACTTGGTTCAGAGACATTGAGGCGTGACGAACAAGAACAATTTTGGTAGAGAAAGGCTTTGTTGGGAACAAGAGACACGCTTCACAAAATGAAACAGAAGAGAAGATTGCTTTGATATAGAGTCCTAGCAACGTAACTAGTTCGCTGTTGTCGTAATCATCGAAATGGTTATCTGGCTTAACTGCGCCGGATCAATATAGTTCCAGGCCGTTTCCCCCCCCCCGTATCGGCAGCAGGTGGAGAGGCCGAGAGGGACGCCCGCGCGCTACTTGCCTCAGCTCCACGTCAAGTCAGTCAGTCGCTCGTTCAGAATCTCCCTTCCTGAAATTAGTCGCAATTCACATTATGCCGGCACTTACATCAGAGAGTGAGTTGAAGCTCGCGGTCAGGCAGCTGGAATCGTTACTAAATTAGATTGAGGTCCAGGTACCAAGCGGAAAGCTTCGGAGGAGGCCCTTTCCCCAGATTCGCAGCAACGGAGCAAGAAAGCGCGCACCGATTCCCCGGGGGAGGAGCTCAAGGTGGGCATTTTAAAATTGGAATGTTAGGGTGATGACTGGAACACTGTACTAATCTCTTCGGCGTTCAGACAGAAGATGAACCCCTCGATAAGCCGCCCATGAGGATTGTCCCGTTCCCGGAGAAGGTAAGCTTGCGCAGCACCTCCGCCCCGGCTATGGATGAGACTAACAACTCCAACCCATAACAGCCGGCCGTACTCGAAGAGCGTCGTGGTGAGATTGAGTTTCGTGTGGTCAACAACGATGGCTCGCGCGACAGTTTCGTCGTCCTCACCGGTCTCAAGTGTATCTTCCAGAAACAACTCCCCAAAATGCCCAAGGACTATATCGCGCGCTTAGTCTACGACCGGTCGCATCTGTCTATCGCAATCGTCAAGCATCCCCTGGAAGTGGTCGGGTACGTATATGTGTGGTGGGAAGGTAGATGGGGTATTGGACTGGGCTAATGCGGCATGCAGAGGCATCACATACCGTCCGTTCAACAGTCGCCGCTTCGCCGAGATCGTCTTCTGTGCCATCTCTTCTGACCAGCAAGTCAAAGGATATGGTGCGCATCTCATGTCCCATTTGAAGGTCAGCATGCAATCTTCCCGGTGAGGGAAAACAGCTATTGACGCGTTTGTTATACAGGATTACGTCAAGGCGACATCGGACATCATGCATTTCCTAACCTACGCTGATAACTACGCTATCGGATACTTCAAGAAGCAGGGTTTCACTAAAGAAATCACGCTGGATAAGTCTGTCTGGATGGGATACATCAAGGATTACGAGGGAGGAACAATCATGCAGTGTACCATGCTGCCCACGATACGCTATCTCGAGGTTGGCCGCATGCTTCTCAAGCAGAAGGAGGCGGTCCATGCGAAGATCCGGGCGTTCAGTCGGTCACACATCATCCATGCGCCCCCCAAGGAGTGGAAGAACGGAGCCTGCAAGATCGATCCCTTGCTGATCCCAGCTATCAAAGAGTCGGGATGGTCGCCCGATATGGACGAATTAGCCCGCCAGCCCCGCCACGGGCCGAACTACAATCAACTTCTGCATCTGCTCAACGACATGCAGAACCACAGTGCCGCGTGGCCGTTCACACAACCGGTCAACCGAGACGAAGTGCCGGATTACTACGAAGTCATCAAAGAACCCATGGACCTGTCGACGATGGAGGAGAAACACGAGAAGGATATGTACCCGACGCCGCAGGACTTCATCAAGGATGCCATGTTGATCTTCGACAACTGCCGAAGGTACAACAACGAGAACACGCCGTATGCCAAGAGTGCCAACAAGCTGGAGAAGTTCATGTGGCAGCAGATACGAAACATTCCGGAGTGGTCGGTAAGTACTAGTCTCCTTCCCTGGATCTTGCATGGGCTACGGACACTCAGGCGCTGACATCACTCTAGCATTTGGCCGAGAACCACTGAATAGGTGGTTGTGTAGTCTTTTGGTGCGTAGGCGTTGCTAATTGGCGTTTGGTTCTGTGTGTGTGTGTGTGTGTGTGTGTGATGAACGAATACCCAAAGTTATGAGAACATGGAGCGTTGCTTTCTCTTGCACTTTTCTTCTTGTTCTTCTGGTTGAACGTGGACATAATTCACAATAGGGATAGTCTATTGAACCTTGATGGCCCCGTCGCTGTGTTTCTGTGTCTTGCGAATAGGATGGTCATATTCATGCAATATGATGGCATCGATGCATAAGCAGGGCGAGATCAATGAGTACTTGCGAACCCTTTAATTTTGACCCAACACATGCCTCTCGTGCTAGAAAGAAAGCACCTACGACTTCTTCCCCAAGATCCGCTTAGGATGTCGGGCCCCGGCCACTCCTGACCCCGCCGCTCTCCCGAAGCCGGACCCTTCGTCAATGTCCATCCTCGACCCCCCTAAAGCCTGAATACTATCGTAGTCATTGCCATGTTCCCAGTACCCGTCATCGTCATCCAGTTCGTCCGCACTAAACTCGCGCTTGTTGCCGCCGAGGCCGCCACCTCGGAAGGCCTGCTGCTGCTGGCCCCAGTGTTTCCGCGCCCCGCCGGCCGCGCTTCCCTCGCCTCCACCGGCAGCACTAGCGGCCTCCGCCCGGTACGCGGCCAGCGTCTGCTCAAAGATCAGGTTACGCTCATGCTCCTTGGCCCGCCGCTTCGCCGACTCGGATTTGATCTTGGCGATCTCGGCCTCGATGTCGCTGATGACGTCGCCGCAGCGCGTCTCCCATTGCGTAAGGATGGTGATCATGCTGGAGAGCGACTGGGGCCTGACGTCGCGGAGCGGGGCGATGGCGGTGACGTTGACGGTCGGAGGGGTCGAGGCCGGCGAGAGGCGGGCGGTGATCAGGGAGGAGTAGATGGCGGTTGTGACGAGGGATTCGAGGTCGGCGGGGGCGGTGATGGAGAGGGCGCCCATGAGGGCGGTGTAGGTGAGGGGTTGGATGGTGGAGGAGAGGGTGAGGAGGGTGAGGAGGCGGAGTTTGAGAGTCTGGGCCGGGCTGAGAGCGGGCAGGTTGGGTGTTTCTGTGAGAGTGATTGAATGTGTTGAGCATTATGTTTGCGTTGTGTTGCCACGGTTTGTGAAGGAGAT